TTGAATGTGTTTGACTTTCATATGATTCAATTAGTATCGTTGAATGCATTTGACAATCATTTGATTCAAAAAGCTATGTTTGAATTTGTTTGACTTTCACTTGATTCAATTAGCTTTTTTGAACTCATTTGACTTTCTTTGGATTCAAAAAGCTTTGTTTGAATGTGTTTGAATTTCACTTGATTTAAATTAGCTTTGTTTGAATGTGGTTAACTTTCATTTGATTCAATTAGCTTTGTTTGAATGTGGTTGACTTTCATTTGATTCAATTAGGTTTGTTAGAATGCCATTGACTTTCGTTTGATTCAATTAGGTTTGTTAGAATGCCATTGACTTTCATTTGATTCAATTAGCTTTGTTGAATGCATATGACTTTCATTTGATTCAAAAAGCTTTGTTTGAATGTTTTTGACTTTCATTTGATTCAATTGGCATCGTTGAACGCATTTGACAGTCATTTCATTCAAAAAACTTTGTTTGAATTACCTAGACTTTCACTTGATTCAATTAGCTTTTTTGAATGCATTTAACTTTCATTTGATTTAAAAAGCTTTGTTTAAATGTAATTGACTTTCACTTGATTTAATTACTTTTTTTTAATTGCATTTGACTTTCAGTTGATTCAAAAAGATTTGTTTGAATGTGCTTGACTTTCTTATGATTAAATTAGCATCGTTGAATGGATTTGACAATCATTTGATTCAAAAAGCTTTGTTTGACTATCACTTCATTCAAATCGCTATTTCGAATGCATTTGAATTTCATTTGATTGAAAAAGCTTTGTTTGAATGTGTTTGATTTTCATTTGATTAAATTAGCTTTGTTTGAATGTGATTGACTTTCATTTGAATTAATTAGCTTTGTTTAATGCATTTGACTTTCATTTAATTCAAAAAGCTTTGTTTGAACGTGTTTGACTTTAATTTGATTCAAATAGCTTTGTTTGAATGTTTTTGACTTTCACTTGATTTAAATACTTTTTTTGAATGCGTTTGACTTTCATTTGATTCAAATAGCATTTCTTGAATGTGTTTGACTTTCATTTGGTTCAAATAGCTTTGTTTAAATGTGTTTGACTTTCATTTGATTCAATTAGCTTTGCTTGAATGTGGTTAACTTTCAATTGCGTCAATTAGCTTTTTTGAAAGCATTTGACTTTTGATTAGGGGATTTTGCTCCCACCAATCACCATCTGAAAAGTGGACCAATCAGGTTCCGCCATGTGTCCGTCACATGGGCCAATAGGAGCCTATCACGTGTCGAGCAATGATCCGTCCACCTTGGACTAATTACGACACGACATGTGTCCTTCCCATGACACCTGGGAAAACCGGCCACCCAGGCCCAACTTCCGAGGGAAGCCCAATCAGCCCTAGGTTAACCTAAACCTAGGATTGGCACGTTTCCCAAGGTTATAAATACCTCCCTTAATCCTCATTAAGGGAGATTACACACATTAATTACAGAGATAATAGGCTGATCACGCTAACAAAGCAGATTACGCTTAAAACTCACATTAAACACTCTCACCTAGAGAGACTCAATCACTTTTATTTCCGCATTAATTACTCCTTAATCAAGTACTAACTTGACCGTTGGAGGCGCAGCTCCCACCACCAGGAGTCTCCGTTGTTTTGCAGGTACAGGCGTCCGGTTCCAGTCTCGGAATTGTAACTCTCCCGCATGACATCAGAAAACCCCGAAACATTTGGCGCCGTCTGTGGGGAGAGTACTTCTGAGATGGCATCCAAGTCTGTACCGACTCCTGAAGAGAGGCGTCCCCTAGACGACCCTCAAGTTCAGTCGGACCACGATACTGAGGATGAATTTGAAGTTGAAGCTCACACAGCTTCAGACGGGACCCTAAGGGCCCGACGTACCCGTCATACCGAAAGGAGGGAACGGGAACATCTTCATACAGGAAGCGAGCCAGCAGGCGCACCGCCTGTTCGGCAACAGCCGACTGATGGGTCTGCTCCCATCACAAAGAACGAACTCATGACCTTCATGAGGGACTTCAAGGGAGAGATTCAAGAGTTGATCAACAAGAAGCCGCCTGCTCCGGTCAAGGAGCAGTCGGCTAAGAAACCCTCCACTTCACTGAAGAGGAAGCCAGTTCAAGGGCGAGAGGCGACTCCTCATCCTAAATCTAGGAAGCGGGAGCCACCTGCCCTTGATTTCACAAAATTCCGTTTTCCTACAGGAAATAGGAAACCTGTTCGTCATATTCAGGCGGACGGGTCGAAGCAAACATTCACAGACGCTTGGCTACTGCTAGAGCAGAAGAAGAGTGACCGATTGTCAGAGTCGACCTCTACTTCAAACTTCCAAGACAGTCTGCGAAATACCTCAATGAGGCATACGCAGTCGTATCATGAGAGTCAGTCAGGCGGTACCTCCCGTCAGTCCGGCTTTCATAGCGACCAGGCGGTACCAAACTTACCGTTTGTGCCGCAACAACAGTATTTTTTGCAGCCACCTCCGTTTGGTTGACATGCAGCAAAAAACGTCCAACCTATGGACTGGCAGCTACAGTTGCTTAGACTTGGTGAACAGCCGTCGGCCTTCTCCAAGGAAATTACTGAAGCCGCTCAGCCGGCCAAAGTGAAAAATGTATTAGTAGGCGCCTATGACGGCACTACTAACCCAGAAGACCATCTGATGGCATTCACCAACCTGATGTACCTTCAAGGGTTGGATGATCCCACTTGGTGCAAGTGTTTCCCAGCGACTCTCAAAGGAATCGCACAACAATGGTTCGGCAACCTGCCGACTTGTTGTGTAAATAGCTTCAGGACGCTTGCTTACTTATTCACCTCCAACTTCGCCATGAACATCCCTGCGAAGAAAACGACCCTTGATTTAGGAACAATTCAGCAGGGCGAGAAGGAGGGGCTTCGTTCTTACATCAGGCGGTTTAACCTGATGAGAATACAGATTCAAGGGTTACCGGATGAGGTAGCCTATACTGACTTTTTCAGAGGTCTCAAGGACGGGTCGACCTTCAAATTTGACTTGGTCCGAAAGAGGGTGGCGACTCTTCAAGAGGCCTTGATTGAAGCGGAAGCCTATGTACAGGCGGCTGATCTTTGTAGTACGGGAAGACAGTCGGACGGTAAAAGGTCCGACAAAAAAGAAGGACAACAGAAGCAGTCGTCCAACAAAGACGAGAAAAGGAAAGAGGTCTGGGCGGCTGATTCCTCTAAACAGCCGGCCCAGAAAAAGAAAAAAGAATTCAAACCATACTCCCCAAAGTATGCGTTTAACAAGGATAACTAGTTTATCCTAAAAGAAATCAAGGGACGGATCTCAATTGAGAAGCCGGTCCCCATGAAGGGTTCTGCAAACAACCGGAACCAAGATAAATTATGTGCTTATCATGATGATGTTGGTCATCACACCAATGATTGCATCAGTCTCATGCGGTATCTTGACCGCCTGGCTGAGCAAGGTGATCTTGACACTTATGTCAAGAAATCTACGGGGAACACTTCCTCAAAAAAGCAGTCGGCCAAAAAGAAACAACAGGACGACAGCTCCGATACAAATGATGCAGTCGTCTACACCATTGCAGGCGGCTTCTCAGGAAGCGGCCCCACTATTAGGGGCAACAAAGCAAATATCAGGCGTTTAGATGTAAATTCCGTTCACCAAGAACGACCGTCCAAATATTCATTTCCTGAGATTGTCATCACTGAAGAAGATCTAGGAGGGGTAAGAGGGCCGCATGACGACCCTATCGTTATTGAATGTAAAGTGGCCAACCAGAGAGTTGGCCGAATCCTCATAGATACCGGAAGCTCCTCAGATCACATCAGTAGCAAATGTCTGTCGAAACTATAATATCAGACTGATTGCATACATCCGGCCTCCCACCCTTTAGTAGGGTTTGGAGGAGGAGGAGTCCACCCAGTGGGACGAGTGGATTTACCCATCCGTCTGGGCGAAAAAGGGGAAGGATGACACATGGTAGTCCGTTTCCTGGTAGTAGAAAAACTCTCGGCTTACAACATGATTCTGGGACGACCAACCCTGAATAATTCCAAGGCTGTTATAATCCCATCTCTTATGTTGCTCAAGTTTGAGAGGGATAATGGAACAGTCGGCTCCCTAAGGGGAGATCAGAGGATGGCCCGAGAGTGCTATCTCTCGGATGTCAAGCCCACTGTTATGGCCACTGGGTCAAGTGGTGAAAAAAACAGACCTTGACAATGTCAAGAAGAGTGCGCCTGTTCAAGAAGCAGGCGACAAGAAGAGAAAGGCATCCCAGACAGGGGCCAAAAGAAAAGAAAGAAAATATCAATCATTGGCAGAGGAGCGGTCGGATGAGTTCCGCCCTCAGCCGGCTGGTGAGCATACGGACCTGATCTTAGACGACTCACGTCCTGATCGAACAGTCAAAGTTGGGACGACTACTCTGAGAGACCTTGGTGACGACTTTCACAAACTATTGAAAGAATACAAGAACATCTTTGCATTTGAAGTCCATGAAATGCCAGGCATTAGTCCGGATCTGGCGGTACATAAACTGGCCGTGGATCCGAAAAAGAAGCCGGTACGGCAGAAGAAACGGAACCATGGCGAAGAAAGAAGTCAGGCGGTTGCCGCCGAAGTGAAAAAATTACTTGATGCAGGGTTCATTCGGCAATGTTACTTCCCAGACTGGGTTGCAAATGTGGTGCTTGTTAAAAAGCCGAATGGCACCTAGCGAATGTGTGTAGACTACACAGACTTAAACAAGGCGTGCCCCAAAGACAGTTACCCTCTGCCTAAAATTGATAATCTGGTCGACTCAACAGCCGGCCATGCTTTGATGAGCTTTATGGACGCCTACTCTGGTTTCCATCAAATTCCTTTATGGAAGAAAGATCAGGAGAAGACGGCCTTCGTCACTGATCAGGGGTTATACTGTTACACGGTCATGTCGTTTGGTCCTAAGAATGCTCCGGCTACCTTCCAGCGAATGATAAACACTGTGTTCTTTGATCAGATTGGGAGAAATGTCGAGGCATACATTGATGGATATGATTGTTGACCAAGATGGTCAAGGGTCACTCATCCATGGTCAAGATAAGGAAGTCCAAAACGGTGCTAGTGAGCAAGGTACTGAGGGAATCTTTTTGTCCAAATCATTCTTCAATCCAATGCACGGTTTTAGTCCAAAGAGTTTAACAAATGGTTACACTTCTCTTAGTGTAACTAATCTTGTTGAAGGCATCTAGTTAATGTGTCGTTTTTCCAAGCTTGAAGCCACGCATGATTGATGCATTTGAGAGTTACATTGGACTGATTATGAAGGCGTGATTCAAGGCTTGTGTTGGGCGTGAATTAAGGCATTGGTTGGCTGATTATTCTACCTCTTTACTTGGGGGTTATTTGTACTTAATTAGAGAGTTGTTGCTGGAATAAAGGAGCTTGAATCAAGGGTTTAAATGGGAGGTTACAAGCGTAACTCAAGGGGGCTGTTTTCACGTTTCTTGGACGTTGAGGATGCTCTTTGAAGACTTCATGTTTGCTGAACGTTTCCTCTTTAATTTAAGCATAGTTTTTAAGCTTAATTGAGTAGTTTTATTTTGTTGTTATGAGGGATTAATTGGACGGTTATATGAGCCTTTTAATCACCTTATAGTTAGTATCTTATTTTGTCTTTTAAATTAGGCAAGTGATGGATGATCATTAAAAGTTGTAGAGAGGAATCCCATGTTCCTTTATGTAACTTATACACTACTATAAATAGTGTGCTATGCATGAATGAAAAGTATCCAGAAATTTGCTTAAACACTTGTGTTTTGTTTGATTAAACGTGACTTAGTAACTAGTCATTTTTAAGGTCCAAGTTTGTTAGCTCAAATTTGAAGAGTGCTAGTTTTGGTAGAGTGTTCCCAAACCTAGGAGCTTGCGTAGTGAACGAGTGGGTTGAGTGTTCCCTATTCCTAACTACACCAAGCAAAGGGTGAGTGTTCCCCTTTGTTATATCCGAAACTAGGGTGAGTGTTCCCCTATTTTCACCTTCCTTGTTCACGATTTCACTAAGACCCCTTAACACATACCTTTGTAACAAGGTTCTCATCTTGTTTACACATCATTTGGCGCGCCAGGTAGGGGGTGTTTTTCTAAACATTTCCTAAGGGGTCGAATACCTACATACCATGGGAGAAAACCCGGACTTAAGGACAGCGTTGGAAGCTCTTAATCGATCCATTGCTAGTCAAGAAAGGTTGGCCGAAACCAATGCCAATCTACAAGGGAACCTTGCTGCCTTGATGGCAAGGCTCATGAACGAGCAAGATAGGAGAGATCAAAATGAGGACCCTCCACCTAGGAGGGAGGATAGAAGCCTCAAAGTGGACGTTCCTTCTTTTGATGGGACACTTGATCCAGAGAAGTACTTGGAATGGGAGAAATCCTTGGAGAGGTACTTTGAATATAAGGACATTCATGAGGATGTTCAACGTTTTAAGATTGCCAAAGTCAAGCTTAAAGGCTATGGTGATAGTTGGCTACAAGGAGAGCAAAGGGGACGTGCCCTTAGGGGGAAAGCTCCTATCTCTACTTGGGGCAAACTCAAGAAACGGATGAAAGACCGATTCATCCCACACAATTACAAGCAAAGTCAATATGTGAAGTGGAGTACCTTGCAACAAAATGGGGACTCTGTGGAGGATTACATAAAAGAGTTTGATAGACTTGCTATTGTGTGTGAAGTAACCGAAAATGAAGAGCTCAAGATGGGGCGTTTCGTATCTGGCTTGGACCCAGAATTACAAGACAAACTTGAAGGTTATACTAACCTCACGTTTGTTGAAGCTTGCAAATTGGTGATTAAGTTCGATGCTAAGAGGAAAAAGAAGAAGCCTACTACCATCCCTCAATTGGCACGAAAACCTTCTTTCCCTACAAAGGAAGGTTCTTCCTTCAACAAACCAAGTAATCCACCAAAGAAGGACACCAAGGACGTGAAGCTAGGTGACATTGTGTGTTACAAATGTGGAGGACGAGGTCATTACAAGAAGGATTGTCCTAATACTAGGGCGTTAACCATACAAGAGGTTAAGCTCATGGCCACTCAAAACATCAACTGGGATGAGTTTGAGGAGGAGGAAGAAGAAGTTGAAGATGATTGTGATGATTGCATGGCCGAGCCAGAGGGGAAGACTAGCCTCGTGATTAGGAGGGCCTTGCAAGCACGTGTGGAAGAGCATGCTGCCCCCCAACGCCAACACATTTTCATCACCCGTTGTAGAATTGGTGACGAGGTATGTGATTTGATTATTGATGGAGGGAGTGAGGCTAATACCGTGTCTAAGACCTTAGTATCTAAACTTGGTCTAACTACTACTAATCATCCACAACCTTACAAGTTGAGTTGGTTAGATTCAAATGCTAGCACCGGGGTTAGGAAGCAATGCATGGTTTCTTTTTGTGTTGGTTCATATTGTGATTCTATATTATGTGATGTTGTGTCTATGGATGCTTGTCATATTCTACTTGGTAGGCCTTGGCAAACTGATAAAAAATCTATACATGATGGGTATCACAACACGTATACCATAGTCCATGAAGGGAGGAAGAAAAAACTACACCCTTTACCACCCCCACGGTTTTCACCATCACAAAACCCACAAAAAGAAGTATCCTTGTTGTCTCTTAAAGAGTTTGAGAGGGAGTTGGAAGGTGAGGGAGAGTTGTTCATGCTGTACTCCAAGGAAACCCACGAAAAATTTGTTGCTCATAATCCTAGGTTAGCCCAATTGATTAAGGATTTTGAGGACGTTTTTCCGGATGAATTACCTAAAGGACTACCACCCATACGAGGAATTGAGCATCAAATTGATCTCATTCCCGGAGCCCCGTTGCCAAATAAACCAGCCTATAGATGTAACCCTTTAGAAACTAAGGAGTTACAACGACAAATTGAAGAGCTAATGGGTATGGGTTATGTGCGTGAGTCCATGAGTCCATGTGCCGTTCCTGCTTTGTTGGTCCCTAAGAAAGATGGTACTTGGAGAATGTGTATTGATAGTAGAGCCGTTAATAACATTACCATCAAGTACAGGTTTCCAATTCCAAGGCTTGATGACATGCTTGATGAGCTGAGTGGTTCCAAGGTCTTCTCAAAAGTAGACTTGAGAAGTGGGTATCATCAAATTCGCATGAGAGAAGGGGATGAATGGAAGACTGCGTTCAAGACAAAGCATGGGTTGTATGAGTGGCTCGTCATGCCATTTGGCCTTACAAATGCCCCTAGCACGTTCATGAGATTAATGAATGAAGTGCTAAGGCCATTTCTTGGCAAGTTCGTGGTAGTATACTTGGATGACATTCTCATTTATTCACGTGATGAAGAAGCTCATTTTGAGCATCTTTTTCAAGTGTTTTCTGTTTTAAGACAAGAAAAATTGTATGGGAAACTAGAAAAATGTGATTTTTTATTGTATGAAGTCATGTTTCTTGGCTATATAGTTTCAGGTGATGGCGTGAAGGTAGACCCTAGCAAAATTGAAGCAATTCAATCATGGCCTAGTCCAAAAACACTCACGGAGGTCCGTTCTTTCCATGGCCTAGCTTCTTTCTATAGAAGATTTATCAAGAATTTTAGCACACTCATGGCTCCTATAACTGAGTGTACTAAGAAGGGGACGTTTGAATGGACTACACAAGCTCAAAAGGCCTTTGAAGAAGTCAAGGAAAAAATGTGCAACACTCCTATTCTTGCACTCCCTGATTTTTCCAAGCCATTTGAAGTTGAGTGTGACGCAAGTGGAAAAGGTATTGGTGCCGTGTTGATTCAAGGTGGGCGTCCAATTGCTTATTTCAGTGAGAAGATGAGTCAAGGCAAGTTGAATTACTCCACCTATGACAAAGAGTTCTATGCTATGGTAAGAGCTCTAGAACATTGGTCACATTATTTGAGGCCACAACCTTTCATTTTGCATTCCGATCATGAATCATTGAGGTTCATACATGGTCAAAAGAAGCTGAACGCAAGACACGCAAAGTGGGTCGAATTTTTGCAAACATTTAACTTTTCCTCTAAATACAAGAGTGGGAAAGCTAATGTGGTTGCGGATGCCTTATCTAGAAGACATAATTTGCTTGGAATGGTTGAAGCAAAGGTACTTGGGTTCGATTTGATCAAGGAGTATTATCAAGAAGATGATGAACTCAAGGGGATAATTGGAAAATGTGTCCATGGAGTCTATGATCTGTTTTCCTTACATAATGGTTTTCTTTTTAAAGGAAATAGATTATGTATTCCAAAATGTCCCATTAGAAGTTTGTTGATACATGAAGCTCATGGGGGAGGACTAGCTGGTCACGTTGGTATTCACAAGACAATGGAGCTTCTCCAAGCTCACTTTTATTGGCCGAAAATGTTAGCCACGGTTCATCGTGTGGTGAGTCGTTGTTCTACTTGTCAAAGAGCAAAAATGGTGTTTCACAAAGGTCTCTACAAGCCCTTGCCAATTCCCGAAAGACCTTGGGAAGATGTTAGTATGGATTTTATTGTAGCTTTGCCTAGAACTCAAAGAGGCAAGGATTCAATAATGGTGGTGGTTGATCGGTTCTCAAAAATGGCTCACTTCATTCCTTGCCATAAAACTGAAGATGCAATGAAAGTGGCTAAGTTATATTTTGAAGAGGTGGTTCGTTTTCATGGGGTGTCACGCACCATTGTGTCGGATCGTGATACTAAGTTCCTAAGTCATTTTTGGAAGTCTATGTGGCGTTTGATGGGAACTAAGTTGCTGTTTTCTACCTCACATCATCCACAAACTGATGGTCAAACGGAGGTGGTGAATAGAATACTTGGTTCGTTGCTTAGGGCTTTGGTGAGCAAAAGTACCAAAGATTGGGATAATAAACTTGCTCATGCCGAGTTTGCTTATAATAGGACACCTAGTGCTACTACAAAGTATTCTCCTTTTGAAGTAGTCTATGGCGTCAATCCTTATGTTCCCATTGATCTTATTGCTTTGCCAAAAGACAAGTTCGTTCATGGTGGGGCAAAGGAGCAAGCCGAGTTCATGCTTAAAGTCCATAAAGAAGTTCGAAGAAACATTGAAAAGGCAAATGAAATCTACAAGAAACAAGCCAACAAACGAGTGAGAAATGTGAAGTCTTTTGAAGTTGGGGACTTGGTGTGGATTTACATGAGGAAAGAACGTTTTCTAGCAAAAGGAAGAACAAGCTTATGCCAAGAGCCGAGGGTCCGTTTGAGGTCATGGAAAAGATCAATGACAACGCATACAAAGTTGATTTGGGAGGCCAATATGGTGTCTCAAGTACATTCAACATTGGTGATCTTGCTCCTTACTTTGATGATGACGAATTGAGGGCAATTCCTTTTGAAGAAGGGGAGGATGACCAAGATGGTCAAGGGTCACTCATCCATGGTCAAGATAAGGAAGTCCAAAACGGTGCTAGTGAGCAAGGTACTGAGGGAATCTTTTTGTCCAAATCATTCTTCAATCCAATGCACGGTTTTAGTCCAAAGAGTTTAACAAATGGTTACACTTCTCTTAGTGTAACTAATCTTGTTGAAGGCATCTAGTTAATGTGTCGTTTTTCCAAGCTTGAAGCCACGCATGATTGATGCATTTGAGAGTTACATTGGACTGATTATGAAGGCGTGATTCAAGGCTTGTGTTGGGCGTGAATTAAGGCATTGGTTGGCTGATTATTCTACCTCTTTACTTGGGGGTTATTTGTACTTAATTAGAGAGTTGTTGCTGGAATAAAGGAGCTTGAATCAAGGGTTTAAATGGGAGGTTACAAGCGTAACTCAAGGGGGCTGTTTTCACGTTTCTTGGACGTTGAGGATGCTCTTTGAAGACTTCATGTTTGCTGAACGTTTCCTCTTTAATTTAAGCATAGTTTTTAAGCTTAATTGAGTAGTTTTATTTTGTTGTTATGAGGGATTAATTGGACGGTTATATGAGCCTTTTAATCACCTTATAGTTAGTATCTTATTTTGTCTTTTAAATTAGGCAAGTGATGGATGATCATTAAAAGTTGTAGAGAGGAATCCCATGTTCCTTTATGTAACTTATACACTACTATAAATAGTGTGC